ATGCTTTAACACTGATGTTCTAAATGGCCCTGCGATTCATACTTATTAGACAAACCTTTCTTTCTGCATCTCTTATATTTTTTGATAATTGGCCATGTACGTTTCTAAGGGGCTCAACAGCTTTTCATGCCACTATACTAGTAATTAAAGCTTTCTCACAGCCTTTCAGATTTCTCCTTACCTTCTTTTCTTTGATAAGTATAATTTGCTGTTTAATTGGGGAGGGGGGGGAGAAAAGTGGTAGTAGCAGTAGGCTGACTGCTTAGGAAAAGGTTTTGTTTAACAAAGTTCTCTGTTTTTAAACAAATCTTCAATTGTTTCCCTGCGTTTGTCCTTCTCTTTCTCGACCCCCCCCCCCTCCCCCTTCTCATACTGTGAAATGTTGTAACAGTCCAGTGAGAGGAAAGAGGGAGGCAGGACGGGGAATTGAGATGTGATGGGGGGAGGATGGTGATGGGGGCAGGATGGTGATGGAGGGAGGATGGTGATGGGGGCAGGATGGTGATGGGCCCCTTTCACGTCCATGTGCCTGGTTGTTTTGAAGGAACCTTTCCTCCTGGAGGCTTTCTTAGTCCCATCCCTCTGCTGTCTAACCCCATGTCCTTGCCTCTGTGCTAGCAGGGTGTAACTGTGGGTGTCCATGCACCTGATGCTCTCCAGAAGCATTTTCTATTTTGTGTGTTTTTATCCTTTTCCTGACTCTCCCACAAACCCTCCCTGCTGTCCCGGTGACAGAGAGCTTTCCCTCCCTCTCCCACCTGCATTACTTGAGTTTTCTCTTTTTTTTCCCCTAGATTCTCTAGTTCCCACATCAATGTCTTCTCTCTCCTTTCTTTAGGTCCCTTTACTCTCAGCTCATTTTTTTACATCCTCTCTTTGCAAGGACTCTGTGGGGGGGTGACACAGCTGGGGGCTATCTTTGGCCCCAGTCCTAGAGCCATCCTGGATGGAGAACAGCCTAAAGTGCTCCCCGGGAGCACCATCCTGCATCTGCAGAGGACAGAGAGCCTTTTAGGCAACCTGTTGGACCTTCTCACAGCTCCAGCCATGGGTGAGTTCCACTGTGCCAGCAGAGGGAGGATGCTGGGTCTGGAGGAGCCCTGTTACTGCCATGGCCATCTCTGCTTCCCTAGACGTTGCCTGGCTCAGCGAGGTGTTTTGGGGGTCTTGGAGGAAGAATGGAATCTGGAGTACAGAAACTCTGCTGCTCTGACAGCCCATCTCGCTCCATTGACATAGGTGAGGTCATTTATTTCTCCAAAAATTTCTTCACTGCATGAGTGATGAGGCATTGGAACAGGCTGCCCAGGGCAGTGGTGGAGTCACCATCCCTGGAGGGGGTCAAGACACGTGTGGATGTGGTGCTTGGGGACATGGGTTAGTGGGTTGGGTGGGGTTGGGTTGGACTTGATGATCCTTGAGGTCTTGTCCAACCTTCATGATTCTGTGATTCTCTTATTGAAGCTCAGAGGACCCAATGCCTTTGGTCCTTGCTAAAGCTACTCTGAAAAAAACATTACTCAGTAGCTCCCATTCTAATTTTTAAATGAGTTCACTCTAACTGGCTATCTCTTTCCACGTGCATAGATTCAACGGATATCAGTGCTCTCGTGGGACATATGCCAGTGTACACTTCTAAACCCCAGCTCCTGGAGTCATGGGAGGCTCCTTAGCTTTCCTTCAAAACAAAATGTTTCTGTAGTTGAACAAAGGTGGAAGTGTGACCCCAATCCTCTGAAATGACTACACAGACAAAACCATCCAGCACTGTGTTTTAAGGCTTGTGATTTTTACAGCACCTGTAAAATGTGGGGAGGAGAGTGGGAGCAAAGGGAAGAGAGAAGAGCTGATCCAAATTTTTTGCCTGTTGGATATGGGCAACATGGTGTTGTGCTCCTCCAGTCAACGCGCAGCGGCCGTTTCTTATCAGCGCTAGTCTTGAATTGCAAAAACAAGTTCATACAGAAGGCATTCAGGTTTTTGGTTTTTTTTTTTACGTGAAGAATTCACACAACCTGTGATCTATTCTGGGATTATTCTCCAGCAGGGGAGGAGGAGGAGGAAGAAACAGGCTGGTGGTGCCTCTGTAGTGAATAATTCAGCCCATCCAACTAGCATGGGTGCTAGGTGACCCCTTTGCTTGGCTCCCACCAGGGCTGGGGAGGAGTGTGGGGTGCCTCACGTCTCTGTTAGCTGCTGGGGTTAAGAGGGGCACTCAGCACACACAGGCATGCTCTAAGCAGGGTCGGGGGGCAGCCAGCACATTGTGACCTAAAATTTGACAGCTTTTACTCATTTCATGTTAGGTGAACCCATTTCTCTTTGGCCAACTGCCTTGCCTGGTGCCCATGCCTGGGGTGCACGGTGCTGTGGGAGCCTGGCTGGTCCCCTCTGAGCACTGGGGACAGCAGTGACCCCTACACTGACACACTCTTTGTCCCTATGCTCCGTATCCCAAATTGCTGCCTTGTATCACAAGGGGGAACAAGAAGAGACAGAGGCTTTTGAACAACTGGCCCCTGCACCTCTGCCGCCTCAAACAGGACAGCTTGAAGATGCTCAATTACAGATAATTTGTATTTTAATCCTCCAGGTCCTGGTGCAGTGTTGCAGCATGACAAACCCTTCCAGCTCGCCACGGGGCTCGACCACCAGCGGCCTGACCCTGGTCATCCCCACGTGTCACCATCCATCCCATCCAGGGATTTCGGTTTGGTAACTGTGATGCAAATAGGGGTAAGGTCTCTTCTTCAGCTCCAGCCAACATCCTTGGGAGTTCTCACTGGTGCTTCAGTTTTCTCCCCTTCCCCTGAGACAAGGCTGTGAGGGCAATCCTCTTATCTCTGCTTGTTTTGTTTTGGTATCTTATGCGGCAGAGTGTCTCGAGGTGTCTCTCCTCTTTCCTCCTTCCCAGCTGTCTGTCTCTCTCTATCACTTTGTCACCCTCAGCTTCTCGTTAGTCTCTCTGATTTCCTCCTTATTCTCCCTAGTTGGTCCATTTGTCATTTTTCCTCAATAGTCCATGCTCCTTTCTCTCCCACTTCTTCTGTCTCTTGTTTCTCCCTCATTTCTCCCTTTCGTTTTTCCCCCCTAGTGTCGGAACTTCTTTCTTTGATTCCCCCCCTCCACCTCCCACCCTTTATAGTGCTGTTATCTGTGATTTTGGCAAAGAGCACATTTATTGGGGAGGAATATCCCCATGGCAACGCAGCAGATGGTGACTTTTGATTAGCTTGGCTTTTTTTTTTTTTTTCCCTGACTGCCAAATCACAATCCGTCTTTGAAATTAAATCAGGCTGTGATAGCATCAGTTGTTCTGGAGAGGGGACGAGAGAGAAACAAGACTGAAGTATTACAGCGGGAGCCAGGATGTAATGCAAATTTGTGTTTTTTAACCCCAGCAATAAAAACCTCTGTTCATTCCGGGAGCAGGAGGAACCACAAGAGAGGGAATAATAAAATAAAAAAATAAGATTAAAAAAAAAATGTTATCACCCTACATGGGCTCCTCACTCCGACCACGCTGGAGAGTGTCTCTAAGACCGATGCTGCTCTTTGCCAAGTCGCTTGGTGCTGCTGGGCCTCGTTCTGCAGCTGCTTGAACACCACTGAGGGTTTTCCTCGTGTCCTGGGTGGTGGGGAGAGGCCAGGCTCTTCGCTGAGCAATTCAGGCAACTATTTATTTATGGGGGTGCAGTGTCCAAAGCAGGAAGGAAAACATCAGCAAGCAGCAGGAGAAAGGAAAGAAAGCAGCTCCTGGAAGGCACCGGAGGGAGGTGAGAGGAATTCAGGGTAGAGTGAGGAAGCGGAGGAGCTGGAAAGGGTGGATGGCATCACGGAGCCAAGATGCCGAGGGATCAAGGGCATGGGAAAGCAAGGAGCTGTCTGTAATGGCACCGGGGAGGTCTGAGCCTGGGGAAGGAAGGGCGCAAAGTTCTGCCAGCCACGAAGAGAGAGTTACAGGGCATAGCCCCATGGAAGATGGGAAAGCAGATACTGAAGTCAAACAGTAAAGAACCTCCTTGAATGTTTCAGAAGTGGGTGGTATTCGAGTCCCATGAGATCCTTTGCCTGGTGCTTTTTGGAGGGTGACCAAAGGTGAATGCAGCTGAGCGCTAATCACAGCCAAAGATAAAGGAGGGCTTGAAAATGAAAGCTGCAGAGAGGAGATGACTAATGGCCGGGCAATTTCATGGGAACTGACGCGTTGTCTCAGGCTGCGAGTCTGCCGGACTGCCATCTCCAATTACTGATGTTCCCCGTGCAGGAGTTTAGAACGCGGTTGGCTGGTCTCGGCGCTGGCTCCTTGGGATGCAGTGAGTTTAGCAGTTATGGCTAAAGGTAAATAATGGGTTACATCCAGTCTTGAGGTGGAGTTTCATCAGAAACAAATGGCCTCAAGGGTTAATGCCCTTTCCTATCTGGGGTTGTAGCATGTGAGTTTTCTGGTACTGTGGAGAGCAAACACACATGAGTACTTAGTGTGCTTCATACGAGCCTTGAGATTCTCAAACTCATCACCAGGCTCTCTTCTGCCCTTGCAAAGAGGCTCTAAGTTTCCATAACCTAACCTGCTAAAAAGATGCTTCTCCTGGAGGAGCTCTGATCTTAATGCAGGAGTCCAACCTGCACCCTTTTTCAAATCTTGAAACATCTGGGATTGTCCTGTTGCATTAAGATAAGTAGTAGAGAAGCTCCCACTACCCTTTCTGAAAAGCAGCCCATGTTGTCTTGCTTACTGGGATAAACTGGCCACCACCAGGTCTCTCCCATTGCTGCTTTAGTCAAACCAGTGCTTTTTCCTCTCTGCTCCAGGGGACTCTGTGGGGCATCTCAAGTTCTTCCAGGATAAGCTCTCTGGCCCATAGATAAAATGTTGCTGCAGATGTTGTTGCTTCTGTTAGAGATCTCAGTTCAGGAATGATTTGTGTATGCCATGTGTTAGACCTGATGTTCTTTGAGGAGCAGATAAGATTTGGGTGCAGGAGGTAAGATGGAGCTTAATTGCCAAGAGGTGTCTCAGGGACGGATTCTTCCCTGTGAGACATGGGCACAAGGGAGAGCTCCAGTCTGCAGGGGTTTACATGTCATTAGAAAACATCAGAGAAGCGTTTAATGAGCACAATGGGATCTAAACCCTTGTTTGAATCGCAGATGGCTCATCGGGAGGGTCTCACCCGTGGTTCATTCTGTTTAGATGGCGATCCTAGTTTAGACGAGAATTTGTATCTGCTGGGTGCTGCTTCTCCCCGTTTTGGTCAGATTGCCACTTGGTTTCTTGCCCCAGGCACCTTGCCAGCATCTGTCCCTCCTCAAATCTCTCTCTCCCCAGCTTGCATCTCCCCTTGCCCTGCACAAGCGCCTCGTAGCTCTTCCTTCGCCTGCAGCCCCCGGGGGCTGGTTGGCATCCAACACGCCATTCCGTAGACCCGCACATCGCACGCCTGGGCATCTGTTCTGCCCTTGGGTACCGCTGTGCCCCAGCTGGTACCCTCTGCCAGGGCGCTGGTGGGAGCCTGTCCAGCCCATCCCCTTAGCACAGCACACGTGTCCCCAGCGGTCCCAGCACGGCAAGCGTGGCATCCGCAGGGCTGCGATCCAGTCCGTAGGGCTGCACAAAACAAACCGGCTGTGACACCGCGGCAGAGTGCTCGAGCCTCTCCGGCTTGACACCACATCGTTATATATTGATGCCATGACACCAGCGCTCAAAATAGAATCAGGACAATTTGATTTCCTGCAGATCTCAGGATGGGGTCATAAAAACGGAGACTGTTCTGGAGAAATGGGATAGGGTGGAAATGTTTGTAGTGACATCACAGCCGCTTCCATGCCAATGGCCTCCTACTGCTGCAAACATGTGATTGTGATTTTGCTGCACGCTCCATCAGAAAAGAGCCAGGCTGGCCGGGGAGGGAGGGAGAGGGAGGGAGGAGAAGGGACGGAAATATTCTGTTCTTGTATCTCAATTCAAATATCTGACAATAGCCTCGCTCATGGCCCAGGGTGCTGAGCCATCAGGAGTGGGACCGTGGAGCTGAGGCTGCTGCCAGGTCGGCAGAGCTCTGGGGGTTGCGGCCACCTAACGGGGGCTGAATAAGGACCTTTGACTTTATGGTGGAGGATCCTGGTCTGCACGGGGTGCTTACTGGAGAGTTGGGTGGTCTCGCTGTGCTCGCTCTTCCTCACTGGTCCCATTTACTTCTAACATCATTTTTCTTGGCAAGAAAAACCCACAAGTCTGAAATATGGCTGCAAAAGCCACTGTGTAGCTGTTGTCTTTTAGGGGTTCCCATTATCGAGAGGAACAGATCTTGGTGCTGGAGCTTTATCTGCAAAGCGGGGAGTAGCAGGGAGGGATTTAAGTAGCTGGAGGAAAGAAAGGAGAGAACAGAGGGAAGAAACAGAAATCAACCCAGAAAACAAAAACAGTTTGTGCCTGAGGATGTTGCAGGAGGAAATCTCAGGTTGGTTGCCCCATAAAAGGCACAAATGGCTGCAAAGCCCGTCTCAGTAGCAAGGTCCTTCCTGAGAAGCAGCCTGCAGAGCTCAGCCCCGGCTGCGTCCAGCACGTGGAACCTCGGGGGGCTGCGGAGGGGAGGGGGGATGAGGGAGTGAAGGGATGCAGCTGATGCACCCGTCTATCAGATTAGGCTGTCAAAAACCAAACCGCTTCCATCACTGTCCGAGGAGAAACTCTCGCTCCCTGCTTAATGGGATGGCAGTCCTGTGGTTGCCCCTCCAGGGAGAGGGGCCACTGCCACCGCAGCGTGCAGCAGGCTGCGGGTTTAAAATCCTATTAGGCAGAGACTAACAGTTGCAAAAAGAAAGCAGGTATCCCCTAGTGGGGATTTAAAGATGTTTAGACATAATTGGATTTTCCAAGCAGATGTCATTATTGTTAAACAGTTGCCCACTTGATATGTTCAAGTTGTTGGCTGTAATTGCTAAAATTAGCAGGTCTGCACAGAGCAAAGGTCAGTCGGTTAATATTGTGATTTAGTATTTTATGAAGTAATTCCAAATGCTTTTATGTATGTTTTTGTTTTTGCAGCCTAAGCCCACATTAAAGTGGTTGTGGGTCCTGCTATAATAAAATAATGACTCAGCCTCTCCGCGCAGGCTGCCGGCCGGGCTCGGCAGCGGAGCAAAGCCGCCCTCGCTCCCTGCTCTCCCCGGAGCTGTGGGCCAGCCGGGGCCACGCGCCC